GTTATGACTTCTCTCTAGCTCTGGGTTTCGAAATGTTTCTGCTTGTCGATGCAGGCGGATATGCGAGTATCAAAACGTAGGTAGGCAACCGTAGACACGAATCTTATTCGTCTGATGGTTCGGGCTCACGCTTGGTACCGTCACCATCAGATACCGGTAATTCATGCACAAGAGTTTGCAGTATTTGTGGGGTGTGGTCGCTTTGCTAACACATTAATATGGTAATTGATCGCGGCAAAGAAGTCCTTACATTCGTTACGGTTCGCGTACCCTCGGATCTCCTCGCCCTTACCAGTCGTCCAGGCGTCCTGCATCTTCCGTAGCCCCTGTTGCACAACGCAACGACTTCCGTAGAAGACTGCTTTGGATAGGATGACTAACGTAGGCTTTATGAAGCCAGTTCTTCTAGGCGAACAGATTGCTGATGTCGCGAACCAGTCCTGCCGCAGACAACACGAGCAGTCGTGGACATCCAGGGCGGTTGACTGGACTGTGCCCCTCAGCTGGCACCTTTGGTCCTCCTTGGAGGCGTCCTCGTCGGCGAATGGAAAGTTGGCTAGCCGCTGAGCCAGCTCGTTTTTGAAATGGAGATGCTGGGCAGGCGCATTCGACAAAACAGCATTTAATTTGCCTGGCGGTCACTTTCCTTGAGGTCTGCCTTGTGGCTGTAGGCGGATCCTCATCTTGGAGATGACAAAGTGATGATCGATCCACCCGTCGGCACCCGGCATCGTCTTTGTCAACAGCACTTCCTATTGGTCTCACCTCCGGACGAGGACATAGTCCAGCAGGTGCCAGTGTCGCGACCGAGGGTGCATCCAGATCGCCTTCTTCCTCATCGACAGGCGGGAGAAGGCGTTGGTCAGGATAAGATGGTGTTTTACGCAAGTTTGTCGGAGGAGCAGGCCATTGCCACTAAAGCCCTCGAGACCACGGGGCCCCAGCAATCCTCTCTAGACAGCATGGTCTGTGCCGACGCGGGGGTTGAAGTCACCAGGGACAATTAGCCTATCCACCTTCGGCACAGTCAGCAGGAGGGCGTGCAGATTCACAAAGAATTTGTTTCTTGCCACGTCAGAGTTGGTCATCGGGAGGCGCAGACACTGACGATGGTGGTGAATTTTCCTCCCCGAAAAGACAAGCAGAGGCTCATCAGGCGATTCTCTATGCCCTGCGACAGATAGGGAAGTCGTCCAACGATGTCTTTCCGGAAGGCAAAAGTGACACCCGCGTCTCGTCGCTCTGCCTTGGACGACCGCTCCAGAATAAGGTGTGGTCGGCACCCCCTCCTGCAGTTGGCATTGTTCGTATAACCGAGTTTTGTTTGAGTGCAGGGACGTCTAACTTGCAGCCTGCCAGTTTCCAGTCGAGTATTGTCGTTTTCCGCTCCGGTCGGTTGCTGCTGGGATTGTGAAAAAGTGAACTAGAGTAAGTTGGTTAACTCATGAAATGTCGGGCAAAATTTCGAAATGCGTTCTCGTTTCGAAAAGATTAATTACAGTGAGTGACCTATCTCATGAAATGTTGGCTGAAATTCTGAAATGCGTTTTCGATTAGGAAGGATTAATTGGTCGCGGTTGTAATACTGCTTATCTTGTGGCATACTTTTATAGCATTTCAGACTCGGCAGGATGTCGGCTTTTAAATGCACTTCTTTTCAATTTTCTATAGAAAGCATACTCAGTAAAAAAATAACTACTTAAGTAGCATGCATTTTTCCCAATTGATTTTCGGTGGTCTTGCAAATTCTAATATATTTTATAGAAAGCATAAATAAAAATATGATTTATTTTAGTCAATCAATAGAGAATCACGTCTTTTTAAATTTTATGCTTAAGGAAGATTTATAATTATGTGTTAAAAAAGTTTTTAATTATGAGACTTTTTAAGACCGCGAAATGTCGATTCACATAGCATCGTACCTGGACGTTTACCACTGCTCCTCATGAAATGAACAACATGGTCCGCATCCATCGCAAAATTTTATGGACTCTGTATGATATCCCTTTAATGGCATAGAAAAATATGTCATTATCTTTACGCAGAACGCATTCACCTTGCAGACTGAAATTACTAAGCGCTAATGCAACGAATGATCAGGCTCCAAATTATTCGGCAATTGGAAAACTTTTTAAACCTAATTATACTCCTTCCTTAGGTATAAAATATAAAGGAGACGCGATTCTCTATTGATTGATTAAAATAAAGCATATTTTTATTTATGCTTTCTATAAAATATATTAGAATTTGCAAGACCATCGAAAATCAATGGGAAAAATGCATGCTACTTAAGTAGTTATTTTTTACCAGATATGCTTTCTATAGGGGATTGGAAAGAAGTGCATTTAAAAGCCAACATCCTGTCAAGTCCAAAATGTTATAAGAGTATGCCTTATGATAATCAGTATTACAACCGCGACCAAGTAATCCTTCCTAATCGAAAACGCATTTCAGAATTTCAGCCAACATTTCATGAGATAGGTCACTCACTGTAAGTATGCCTGTAAAACTAATCACCGTCCAGGATAATTTCATTATGATCCAGTTTTCTCAAGATGTCGGCTGTCGATCGAACTTATTTTCGACTACATACAAGAGCTATACTCTGTAAAAAGGACAACTTAAGTAGTATTCAATTTTATCATTGATTTTCGATGACCTCAAAACTTCAATTACATTTCTTGAAACAATGCCTACAAATATCCATTCTTTCATGTATTCGGTAGAAAATTCGTTTTCTTTCAATTTCATACTTGAAGGAAGAGGATTATTGTTTGGTTTCAAAAAGTTTCCAATTGTGAGATTTTTAATACCGTGAAATGTCCGTTTATAAAACGTCATGTATCTACATTTACCAATGTGGTTTGCAAAATTAACAATATTGGCCAAATCCATTGTTTACTTTTATGAACCCCATATGTTCTCCTCTTAATACCGTAGGGAAATGTATGATTTTCCGTACACGAAAAATACACGACTTGCAGTTTTGAAACCCTGAATACAAGTAAAAAAGCAGGTCGGGTTCAGAATTATTCGGGAATTAGAAAAGTTTTTAAAAATTAATTATACTCTTCCCTGGAGTATAAAATTGGAAGAAGACATGATTTCCTACCGAATACGTAAAAGAATGAATATTTGTATGCATTTTTTCGTGAAACGTAATTGAACTTTTGAGGTCATCGAAAATCAATGATAAAAGTGCATGCTACTTTAGTTGTCCTTTTTGCAGAGTATAGTTCTTGCATGAAGTTAAAATAAGTTCGTTCGACAGCAGACACCCCGAGGTAACTGGATCATAATGGAATCATGTTGGACGGTCATTAGTTTTACAGCAATACTTAATTAATCTTTTTGAAACGAGAACTTATTACGAAATTTTTGTCGATATTTCATGAGTTAGCCCCCATGCTGTAACATTCCAGACTGTCAGAGTGAGCGGACTCCCCCTAGCAGCCTGTGGGTGGGTTGGATGGGACGAGAAGTAGAAAGGGGGAAAATATTATTTCTTGTTTGTTGATTTCGACCGCGGGTATTACAATCGACGAGCCGCGGTCTGCACGCTAATGTCGTGAACCCAGCATTCCTTTGGGGCGTCGTTTATAGCCCCCTATTCCTCTCGAGGGAAAGCAAAACTGTCCCCGAGTACGGCTGCTTAGTCGCACCAAAAAGGCTGTCGCTCTCCATTTTGGGTCACTGAGTTTAGTGCGAGAACGAATCATTGACCTGGGCCGCCTAAGTGATTGCATGCCGCTCTCGGCATAGGACTTTCCGATCTTAGAGTAAGAGAATAGATTAAGGAGTAGACAGAGTGGCGAGTAAAGAGGCAGGGGAAGGAGGGAAGCGGAGGGGGGAGCACAGGTTCGCGTGTGAATATACGTACACGGAGGCCCTCACGTGGTGTAGCCCGCCGGTCCAGGCGATTACCGGGATGTGGTCGCTAGGCTTTGAGGAGCCACATGTAAGAGTTGGGTACCAGTTATTGGACGCTAGGCGTAATAAACACCTGCAATGAAGTGGGTGACTTACTACAGCCATCACTAGCAGTCTCTCTAAACCTCTGGCATATATGATGCCAGTCTGTTCACTTTCAAATGAATCTTTAAATAGATCGCAAATGCTCCAGATTTCCAAATACAATAATTCAAACTATGACTATCGGAAATGCTCCACGATTGATAAAAGGGACTACCACATCCAACCATACTAGGACTAACAGAAATGTTTCACGATTAGTAAAAGGACTTACTAATAATGCCTAGCCATAATCACACAAAATACGAAAAGTTGCGACAAAACGAGGGAAGATTTGATAATCGTTTTTAGGTCATTTGCTATCGTCAGCCAAGCATAGGCTGTATAGTAAAGACTAAAAGGCCTAAGCCCGACTTCTTCGGCTATTGGGCATTAAATCAAACACTTTAACGTTTATTCGGGAGTCATCACAGAGCTGGCTTCTATCAAAAAACTTCTCCTACGAAACAAGAGATCACCCATATATCCCAGTTACAAAGGCGAATTGTGATGAGCATTGTTTGTCCTTCAGTTGCTGTCCAGGGGATGTGCAGACTCTGTTGTGGCAACTAAATCAAAACATAAATCACAATTTCCTATTCATTTTCCATCGTCGCTGTGTGTGGCTCTAGACAAATTCCTCGAAGCGACGTAGATTCGACCGCTTTCTGCCTTATGATAACACGAGGCCGTTGAAGCGAACTTCCGCTTATCTACTTGACCACCCACCTAATACTTCCTTCTCCATTGATTGTCTTCCACATAATGACTTGCTCCTCTTTTGGGTTGGGTTATAAACCCGTCTCATTCATGTCAAACTCGGAAGCATTTTGTAGGGTACGGTTGCGTGAATGTTTGGATAAGTATAAGCCAAAAAAGCCCTCTGATCTCGAAGTATTTCTTGGTCTCTAACGTTGAAATAACCAGTCTACTCTCCAGTGCCGAGCGGTAATCTTAGAGCGTAACTTGGTCCGAGCCGCCTAGTTTGGTCGATTGAAGATACCAATTGTGTCAGAAAGTGTAACTCCAGTTTCTATCTTCCTAATTGCTAAAAAATATCATTCATCAATTTTCCTCCCTCATTGTCGATTGTTTGTTGCTATGCAACCACGATTATGGGGAAGGAAAAATGCTTTCCCTACTGTGATCAGCCCGACTATTTACAACCATACATAAATTAACCTTCACATTAGAAACCAGGATATGTAGGACTGTATAGAATTGGAAGTAATTTCTCGTTACAACAGAAATCAGACAAACACTAATGACCGTTAATCACTGTACTGAGATGTAGTGGCTGCCTTTTTGCCTACCAGTGTCTCGCTTAGTCCAGATTGTCTTCCTTTACGCAAAGTTGATGGCATTTACTTATGCATTTGTGGGAGTTAATACTGAGAGTAAAAGAACACTTGAAATTCCAAAACGTTCGCTTAAACCATTTAACTCCCACCAAGTAAGTAGAGACACTAACGTAGATGTAATCTCTGGACATCTATATAAACGAACGCCTGTAACAAAGACGTTGTGCATTTCACCGAAACTGAGACTCCCTGTTCATTTGTGGGAGTTCGACGTTTTATGTTCGGCGGAGGGAGACAATTTTAAAAGATGACGACATACTCCACTATCATAGTTGGTCGTAATAGCCGTTTTGGGCGTTTGGTTTTTATGTAATGATTTTAAATATTACAGTTTATAGAATACTGGTTGGTGAGTGTACATTCGCGTTCGATAAATTCTCTTCGAGCCAGTACATTTATAATGGAACCAAGGTCAAGTTGGACATGTCAGTAATTGGAGAAATAGGCTAAATTGCTTTTTAAAACACTGACTGAATAAGAGAAAAAGGGCCCGCAATAGAGATCCCTTGATGCTGTGAAGGCTCGTGGAACACCTTGCTCACTGCGCCTTCTTATGAGTCCACTTTTAGCGTCCCCTTGAGAAGGGATTTTGAGGAACAGAGTTTCTTCAATAAATAACATAATTGCGTTGTCAA